TGCCTGTCTGGCAGGATGGACCTCAGTCACACTCCTTCTGCTGCCTGCAACCTTTCCTTTCAACCCGTATAATACAAAACCACCAAACACACCCCCTTGGGATGCAATTTCACCCAGGGAAACTTTCGTTTTTGCAAGATCAGGTACAGTGCCACGACCACCAGTGGCATGGCATTTTGTGAACAACCTATATGTGTAGGTTTGTTTCATTTTGCTTCTTTGGCAGTGCTCATGTCCAGGCAAAGAACAAAGGAAGTGTAAAATTTAACACATATGTATACGTCTCCTGGCCCTACATATTTTGCATTCTGAGACTGATCTATATTCCAGTGTTACTGGATTAAAATGGGGTTCTCATTGAATTTTCTGTGGTGCTCAAAAATAAGATGGTAGAACAACTGTGAATAACACTGTTTCACAGACTTCGTGATGTGAACATTAAAAATAATCCTCTTTCCCCATTTCTGTTCATAGATTTAAACACCTACAATAGCAGTGGGTCACCCTTCCTCACCATCTTTAAACCTACAAATCACAAAGACATGACTCAACATAATTACAAGCAAACATGGGCTTACCAAATGCCAAGATGAAATACATTTCTTGATTAACTTTCCTCAGGTTTTAGTGGCTTGTTTACAGCTCACAACTTTGTAGCCCTCCCAGTCTGAGTACAAATTAGTGTGTTTCTATCCTACGCTATCCTTGGGAATTAGTATATTACACAGCACATTGTGTCCCCTGTGGTGCGGTGCTGGATAAGGGCAGCTTTTCAACAGAGCCTTGACTAGCCATACTTTTGTGGGCAGACTGAGGAGAACACACCTCTTGCCATCCTCCTGCCCAGTGTGGCACGAAGGCTGCACAACATAGTGGGTGCAGCACAGGAGGCACCACACAAGGAGCCTAGCAGTCTCCACCTAGGGAGGGAGAGCCCAGAGCTGAGCGCCATGGCATAGCTGGCAGGGATGGGGGACTTTTCATCACTTTCATTGTTTTCCAATTAAAATTCCTGCTGAAATCTGGCTCAGCAAGCTCCACACTGTCCCTTGCCTTGCGTCAGTGGTAGGAGAGGCTGTGGATCCTCTGCACCACAGCACAGCGTGAGCTGCAGAGCTTGTATCTACAAAGCTAAGCATGTGGTGGTTTCAGAGGGTAGGGGGAGAGCGTCCGCAGTCTCTGCACCACAGGAGGGGTGGAAGCATCACCCAAGCATGAGGTACACAAGGAGGAAACAGGTCCCAGATATCTCTGCCCCAGCTGTCTGCTTCCTGGGGTGGCAGGCACCTCTGCTCGGGGTGGGAGGTTTGGAGTCAGCTGCAGCCAGAGCCGCCAGCCATAATACTGCTGATGACGCAAGTAACCAAAGGGACAGAGATTATGCCACAGCCACTTGTCAACAATATTTCCTGAGACAGGATCTGTTCTGACATCTCTGCCCTCATCTGCCACCCTAAGGTTACCGTAAGGGATGGAGAGGACAGGCTGTCCCAGAACCTCGTGAAATCTGATAATAATAATGTGTTAGCCCAGTTTGCCAAACCCGCCAGTACCACTCCTCAAGGATGTCATCCCTTGGACCCAGGAAAGATGTGTATATCTGGCTCCATTACTTCAGCAACATGCTTTTGCTTTCTCTTGAGGAAAACACATCACGTCTTGTTTTTTTCCTGAAGAACTGAAACCATGCCTTGATTTAACTCCTCAAGGAAGAAATGTTCTCAGATCCTAATGAGATTATTCTAACAGGAGTGTAAAATAGGTCACCGTCTACTACAGATATATTGCCTCCTGTAGAGAAAAGAGAGTATCATTTATAGATGGGAAGAGTATGCTGCATAACTAATTACAAATGAAAATGCCAGGATTGATAGTGACTTCTCTCACAACTGTTATGGTTACTTCCAGAAGCTCTTATTTCAAAGGTGAAGAATACTGTGGGTTTTCTGGTGCACACTGGAAGTGTGGACCTGACACTCCTCTAGCACATGTCCTGTGAAGCCCTACAACACCTTTTACTGTGTTGGAGTGGCTATAAGTGCCACGGTAAATCTTGGGCTTAAAAAAAACTTCAGTTGCTTCATTCACCCTCAGTCCCAGCAAGACAGCTTCTAGGGCAAAAGTATCTCATGATCCCTTGAAGCAGTGGGGGGGACCTGGTGGAATAATGATGGCTTTAGAGAAGTTGCATCACCCCAGCTGCCATCAGCAGCCTGAGAGCTGATGCTCCAGCAATGCACAGGAAGCACTGTGACTAAAATAAACGCCACTGTACTCCAGTTGTTGCTTTTTCATAAAGTGCCTCGGTGAGTTCATGAGCCATGGAATGCCTTTCGGCATTGTAACGGTTGGGAGATAAATACTGACACTGCAGGGGGGAAACAAGGTTGTTCATTGTTCAGTGTGCTTCACCTCAGGAGTTATCAGTTAGTTCTAAAGACAGCCTGTCACCCCAGTGAAGGTAGGGGCAGTACTGTCACACTGTGTGGCTGCAGTGGCAAACAGTTGTGTTGAGCAATCTCTGAGCAATGTCTGGGCCAAATCTCCTGAGTGCAGCTGCCACAAACACTCAGGGACAGCAGATGTGTGAGGGCCATCTACAGTGGCATGCCATTGATTCACAGCCCGAATGGGCAGGCTAATGGGATCCCATGATGGAGCTGCCATTGATCACTTAGCCAGCGGAGCACTCCCCAGGAACTGGACCAGAAAACCTACTTATTGAACAGAAAGAAATGATGCTTCAAAAGGCAGTAACTGGGGAATGACGGTCAACAGGTAAAGAATGTTTTGCTGACACAGGAGGAGGCAGGAGAGCGGGGAAGGCATGGTAACCTCACAGCTGCGACAAGGGGAATGGGACTGGCAAAAATCCAGGGGGAGGACATGAATCAAGGCAAAAATGAACAGAATGTCTGGAACAGGAGGGACATTTTGTCATAGACTAATACAATCATAGAATGGTTTGGAATGTGGGGGACCCTAAAGACCACCAACAGTTGATTGGCGTTCTTATGTTGGGATCCCAGAGCCGAAAGCAGTACTTGCAAGTGGGATCTCACCAGAGTGGAGTAGAGGAGGAGAATCACCTCCCTTAGCCTGCTGGTCACTCTTCTGTTGGTGCAGCCCAGGATACGGTTGGCTTTCTGGGTGCAAGCACACATTGCCAAGTCATATCGAGCTTCTTGTCAACCAAACCCCCCAAGTCCTTCTCAAGGCTGCTCTCTACCCATTCTCTGCCCAACCTGTATTTGCACTTGAGATTGCCCTGACCCATGTGTAAGGCTTTGCACTTGGCTTTGTTGAACGTCATGAGGTTTGCACAAGTACACCTCTCAAGCCTGCCAAAGTCCCTGATTTATATATGCTGGTTTGTGATAAGAAAATAAAGTTTAGAGGCAGTGGAGAACCACCTGGAAGAAACACAGGGAGCCACCTGGGGTTGCCGGCTGCAGAGGATGGGGAGGATTTAGACACAAATCCTTGATGGCTATGCTTTGCAAGCTCCCTCAACAGGCAGGATAAGGCCAGGGCCAATATAAAGCATTAGATAAGCTCCACAAAGAGAAATTAAAATTAGAAATTGCAAGAACATGCCTGCTTCATCTCTGTTTGAATACCAACATTATTCCTGAGCAGCCAAGAGTTTACTAGGGCATTTTAAAGTCATGTAAGTCAGTCAGCTTGTTGCCAGAATCTGCTTATCCCCAAAACACATGAAATTACCTCCTGACAGCCAGTGAATGAGGAGCAGGCAGCAGTGAGACATATCAGCAGCAGCCCAAGGGTGCATTGACAAGGCAGAAGATTCCAGAAAGCACATTTTGCATTTGCAAGTGCATTTTGCTGCATGATGCCTAGGTCCAAGAGTGCCTAAGAAGCTGCTCCTTGCAATAGCAATGTTGCTGCATGGCCCAAGACCATGTGTTCTGTCTATGGGCTTATTCCCATAAGCAGAAGAAGAGCAGAAAACATCCCACTTGATCAATGCTTTGCTTCAGGGTGAGTCAATGATACAGCCCGGTGTGCCCACTGCTAGCCTGGGAGATGTGGAGTTTGTCTGCTTCTCTGTGGCAGCAGGAAGATGAATTTCCCTCCAGTGCTATCGGCTTTTATAGAGTTCCCACCCCAGAAGTCATCCTGCATAGCCTCGGTTTGGCCACCGCTCACCAAAGGGATGCTGGTGCTCAGGTGGTGACACCAAAGGAGTTTTGCTGCTGTATCTTCAGAAGGGTTTGAAATGTATGTTAATGGGCAGAAAGTCTCATTAGTAGAGTTGATTAGAGTTAGTTTTAATTACAGAGAGAGCCTATTTTTTTTTCAACTTTTAATTAAGGATGAGTTAGAACTGTTACATATTTAAAGCATTACTTTTGCTCAAGCTAGCATTTACATTGCTAAAAGCAATATTGTTTTCTGTAATGATAAATTAAAATGTTGGCCAAACACCTGCGAGGAGTTTTTTTAGCATCCACCTGGGGGACAGTATGAAACCAGAAACAAGTTCTTTACCTTTTCTCCCCATGGAATACTTTGCAAGGTTTTTGTTCTCATGAACACAAGCAGCCACCTCTGGTGAGCAGATGCAGCTCTGTACTCTCCACTGGCAGAGGCTCCTGGGCAGCCCACACTGGCCCGTGTAGTGTGTCCTCATTCCAGGGTGCCAGCCATGGTGTTGGAAGGAGGGAGGTGAGCTGCTTGCCTGGGTCCTTTGCCAGGCAATCAAAACCAGTGGTGTCCCACCTTCCAAATTCATCACTCCCCTTCTTTGGCCCTGTCCAGACTCTGAGCCCCCTATCCCGCTACCCTCCACACCTTCTGCCATGCATTTGACAGTGACCTTTGGTAAAAAGGTAAATAAAAGGTAAGAGCTGTTTCATGCATGTGACAGAAGGTAACACCATGGGGTCCGGTGCTTCCTGCTGCTCTTCCTTCCTGACGCGCACACCACCCACCCGTGACTGTCTGTCTCAGTGCTCCCTTTTCCTGTTTCCATGCAGCCGGCCGCAGCGGCAGCGACGGGAAGCCCACGGTGAAGGACACAAGCAAGGCAGGTAGGTGAAACCTTATGGTGGCTGCTGCTGGCTCAGCCTTCTCTCCAAGCATCCCTTCTGCAGAGCTGAGCACCCCTCACGGGCTGTCCATCACACCACTCATCCCTCTGCCACTGCCAGGGAAAAAGCACAATCAAGTCTGCTCACAAAGGTTTTGCCAGTGACTTGCTAATATCTCTCCTGTGCCTCAGCAGGGTATGGATCTTCCCCAGTACATGCTCACAATGCCTACAGGTCTTTCAGAGACAAAGATAAATGTAAAGCAGAAGCAGGGGACACCTTTCAAAATGCCTGAGGGATATTCATGACTAGAGCTCACTAGCAGAGGTAGATGACTTCCCATTCCTAGAAATTATTAAAATGAGACTAAGCATCTGTCTAAGATACTCCATAGTCCAGATAAAGCTCCAGGCTTGAGAGACGAGTCACTGATAACACCTCTTAAATCTCTGTTAGGAAAACGTTGTACTGGCTTCTTGTGGTACAACTGCCCAAGAGTCTGTGAGAAGTACAGCATGGCAAAGCAGTCTCATTTAGAAGGAGATTTATCTCAGGAACATATTGCCTGTCAAGTTGCTTTGTTTTCATTCAATCTGTTTCTGTTTTGTCTTGTGTATATTCAGACAAGTGCCTCTCTGACCATGCCATCTTTTCTTAAACCGAGAACCAGCAAGACCTTTCCTCCTGTTTCTGAGCCCTCCTGCTGCCCAAGTGGCTGGCATGCAGCTCGCTCTGAGGGCAACAAGACTTACCCTACATGATGGAGCAACCAAGAAGCTGCTGCCACCACCATTCCAGCTTTACATGGGGGAGCTTTACAGCATTTTGCACCTTGGATGTGGAGGAGGAGCAGAACATCCTCTGCCCAGCATTTGGTGCAACTCCAACAGTTTCTGGAATGGCCCTCCCAGGCTCTTTAATGCTCCATTTTATCCTCGTTAGAAACTGGGGCAGGAGCTAATAATCTTATCCCAAGTTAGGGGATGGCCTGCCTCCTGGCCTGCTTCCCAGCCTGTCTCCATTTTGTTCCTGGGCAACAGCCAGTAGCTTACTTGGTATATTGTTTCCCTAACTCCTGGCCTCATGGTGCATCACAACTCAATGTCAGAAATGCCTCTTCTTGTTTATATTTCCCCACTGACCTCCACACACTATTCCTCCAGCCCACACCTTGAATGATTGCCTCTAAACTGTGCTATAAGCAGGGGTAATCTTACAGAAGCAAAATGTCACCAAACAAATGTTTTCTCAGTGCCAGAATTACTGCAGGTGCCTAACTTGTGCCGTGAGTGCAGGGGTCATTTATTAGTGACACTGCCAGCCACTGAAGCGGTCGCGTGATTATGGTCTATGGTGTAAATGGTCTGAGGGGTAATGGAGTTAGGTGGGTGCATACTTCTCACAGGCACTGCTGAGGGCTCACAGCTGTGCTTCTCTCTTCCTGGTAGCCCAATCCTAAAACGAAGCCCTGACATCACCAAATCTCCCCTGACAAAGTCAGAGCAGCTGCTGCGAATAGATGACCATGACTTCAGCATGAGACCAGGGTTTGGAGGTATGAAACGTGCACATTTGTCATTGTTCCTGTTTTACACTGTCACTTCTTTATACTGCAGCACATACTCAGGTGAACAAGCAGAGTGGAAAGCAGAGCGTTTTCCATCTCCAATTTTTGTTATTTTGTGTTGTGACTTCATGACATGCTCAGGTGGAGAGGGGTGCAGTGATATAGCTTTCTTCTTGGATGAGCAAATAGTGTGCTCAAAGGCATGGACATGTGATTACAGACAATATGATATTCCTGGTATTCAGCAACACTTTCTTTTGATAAAAATCTGCAAATACACCTTATGTTTATCCCTCTAAGATTTATGTTTATTCCTCTAATATTTCACTTCACTACAGTGACGTGTGTGCATAATCAAATAATGTACCATGTCTACTGACCTGGCCGTTTCATTTGTAACCCAAAAGCAAATATATTTACTGTTAATGCTTGCTCTTAGTTTTGTGGTTGTGTGGTAGAGCAACCAAAGCTTTCAGGAAAATGGATGAAGGAGAACACATTTTCTTTCAGCCCATCAGATTAGAGAATGCTGTAATTTATCTACCCTTTCTGGCTGACAGATGGTCATTCAAATCCAGGATACCATTATATACTCTGATGGAAGAAGATTTTACTGCTAAATGCTCAATATACCAAATACCAGCATGTTCAATTAATTTAAAAAGGTTTCAGTTTCATCGCAGTCTGCTAATGTGAGCATTATTTGTCTTGACAGAGCTCCCGCAGCGTAATTGCCAGAGGTATATAAGAGCCAGTCAAAGCCTGGAGAAGGGAGAAAAGATCAAAATCCCTATTACATGGAGTCGCAGTCAGACCTCTGGGGAGCCCCAGGCTCAGTGGCACATGCCAGTGTCTTGCAACACATCCCCTCCTGTCACCCTGTCTTTTCCACAGCTGAGCAATGGGTGATGTGAAAGTCAAATACACAGAGTAGCTGGCTCTCAGGGGTGGTACTAGCCTGAGAGGGAAGCAGAAGTGAGCCAAAAATTTGGAGTAACTCTCCCACATTCCCTTAGCTGTGCCAACACTGTCCATGTAAAAGGATGTTCTGCTGGGCACCTGTCTTGAGAGCCTTGGACCCAAGCGCTAGAGCCAAAAGCAATGAAAATTGCAGTTAAGTTTTTAAGGGACACATGTAGGATGACACAATAAAAAGAGAAAGCCTGCAATAGGTCAATGTTATTGCTGATTTTGGTTGTTATTAGTTTTTTATTATGAATTCCAATCATTTCTACTTCCAGTTTGTTTGCTGTCATTTCTATTTCATACTGAGCATCTATTTTTATCTCTAAGCTATGAAAGCCAGAGGATTACTTTGTCTCATCAGGTTTATATTCTGCAAACTTTCAATTTTTCCCCCCAGGCCCTGCAATTCCTGTTGGGGTGGATGTCCAAGTTGAAAGTCTGGACAGCATTTCTGAGGTGGACATGGTAAGAGTCACAGAAGAGCTAAGGTCAGATGAGACTTCTGGAGACTGCCTAGCGCAAACCCCTGCTGAGAACAGGGCCATCTAGAGCAACCTGCCTGGGTTTGTGTCTGTGGGATTTGAATACCTCCAAGGATGAACACTTCACAGCCTTTGAGGGGCAGATTTATGTTTGATCTGAATCTGCTGGCAATTACTTATGTTGATCTCATGCTACCATTTCATCTCCCTGTAAGCAGAAGGCAGAAACCTGACATTCTCTTCTCTAAGACAAGGTGATACAACACTGGGAAGACTGTCCCAAAAGATGTGGGTTTTTACATTTTCTTAAAAACTGGTAACACGTTTAAAAGTTCCGAGGAGACCAATTATGTGTTGGTTTTAAAGCACTTTGATATACTGCAGACACAGGCCCATTTCAGCCATGTCCTGAGGTGGTCGGGGGCCAGCTAGCTCCCAGCTGGAAATCATGACCCATCCTGAGAGCAGCACTCATTCAGACTGTTAAGTCCTGCTCTCAAAGGGCAGGCACAACGAGCTCCAAGGGGAGAAGTTTCTCCAGAACTTGCCTTTTGGCACATTAGCAGTTTTATCACCCCAGCTGTGTGCTGGCAACCAGCTTAAGGCTCTGTTGGTTATTAGGTTTTTGTTATGAATGCCATACTTACTATAGCTTATATATATATATATATATATACTGTATCTTCACACTAACAGTGAAGTAGGATTTCAGGGACACGCAGGACTAATGCTGGTGCTCTGCACAGGATAATTTCTGTACTGAGTCTCTGTTCTTCATTTCCTACCATACAATTAGTAATGTAAACCCAGTTAGTTTTCAAATGCTCTCAAAGGAGTGCAGATTTTGGTCTTGATAACTTTTGCTGGAAGGGCTTTTTGTATCACCAAACACTGCTGAAAGAAAGATGCTATTTCTGCAGGAGATTTTCCATGGGAAGATTCTCCTGCATACAGGACATGTAAACAGCAGCCTGTGCAGAAGAGCAGGAGCATAGAAAGGGAGCAGCTATTTCAGCTTTTGAGTGAGCTGGGTATCTACAGTCAAACAATGACTTGCAGAGTACAGCAGGGTTGCAAGGCTGAGGCACATAAGGGTGTGCATTCCCCGAACCCTAAGGAGCCCTCCAGATGGCTCTTCTGTCTCCAGTGCTCTTGGCACTCTGGCTGCCAGCCATGGGGACTTGGAGATTTCACCTCTACTGGGATGGTCCCAGTCTTTCTGGTTGAGGAGAAAGCTTGTGAATGTGGCCAGAGAGCCCCTGAAAAGTTTCGGAACTTGAAAGCAAAGAGAAAGAACTTAACATTGAGGATTTAAAAGTAAAAATAAAGCATCAACACACTCATTTTTTAAGCAAGCATTAGGATTTTGAACAATTTCCCTTGTTTTTTTGAATACTGCCCCTGCACATCATGCTGCAAACATCCAGTAATACACAGGGAAAAACACTGTATGGCCTCCGGTAAAAAAAAACATTCAGGGTCAATACTGGCTATTCACAAAACAATGATGGAGAAGACTTTATATTGTCAGAATCAATTCATTTTAACTTGTGCAGCTTTATAGAAAAAGGCCATAGTGGTTTGCAAGACCATTGCTTGTTTTTTAAAGAAGAGACAGCAGTGACAGAGATATTCAGTCTGCACTAAATTAAGGCTTGAGGAGTTACATATGTCAGTGTTTCCTTCTTTTTCTCTTACTTTCTGACTATTTGCAAGACAGTGGTAAAATAATAGTGGACATTATAAATTTCATTAGGACATTAGAAATCAGATTATTTTTTCCCCCAATTAATTTGAAAACTTACAAATATCTATCATAGGCCAGAGACTCTGTGTCCTGGTTTCAGCTGGGATAGAGTTAATTTTCTTCCTAGTAGCTGGTGCAGTGCTGTGTTCTGGGTTTAGTCTGAGAACAATGCTGGTAGCACACCCATGTTTCAGTTATTGCTCAGTAATGCTTACTCTGACCAAGGACTTCTCAGTCTCATGCTCTGCCAGGGAGGAGGGGAAGCCGGGAGGAAGCAGAGGCAGGACACCTGACCCAAACTAGCCAAAGAGGTATTCCATACCACAGCACATCATGCCCACTATATAAACTGGGGGCAGTTACCCAGAAGGGCAGATTGCCACTCGGGTCAGGCTGGGTATCGATCAGTGGGTGGTGAGCAATTGTATTGTGCGTCACTGGTGTTTCTGGAGTTTTAGTCCTTTCTCTTTTTTCTTTTTTTTTTTAATTATTATTAAACTTTACTCCATTTTCATTATCTACCTGCTCCATCCATGGGGTTTATCTTCTATTTTCTTTCTTTTATGAAGCATTCCCAAGAATTATGTTGGCCTCTAGTATAATAATAGCACAGAATGCAAGTAACAAACCACTTGTGCTGAAAAAAGACTGCAGAACCCCCCATATTTCAAAATGCTTGGAAAGTGCTGTGGAGAAAAAGTTCAATTGTCAAATAATTTAAAAAAACCCAGCACCCCAAACTTATCTGACTTCTACCTCAAACACCAGGGCTGACTTTTGAGCCTTAGACACTTCCCTCAGTTTATGGGCAATATATTAAGATACACACAAAGATACCGTGCCTATAAACACTCGTATGTGAGGTTATTTTCAGGTATGTGAGATCTCCCTTTGAAATAAGGAAGAAGGCAAACCCAGTTTATATACCTCTGGGGTCTGATTCCAAATACAACAGAGCGCAAAGAGAAGGAGCATGCCTCTGGTCTAAGAGTGCAGTGTGTGGGGAGAAACAGCAGAAAAACCTGGTTTGGTCAAATACTGAGTAAAAAAGAATTCAGTGGCTGTGCTGGAGGGAGAGCTCTCACTGCAACACGCTCTGTCAGCTGCCTGGGGGGCGGCAGTTGCCGGAGCAGCACGAAGGGCAATGCAGGCAGAAAATGCTTCTTCACAGGTGGGTCCAGAAATGCAGCATCATATAGGACTGTGGTATTAAGGGTCGGCAGCACTCTCCACCTACTGCTGCCTCAGCATGTCTGCCTTTTCATCCCTGGAGTGGCTGCAGACATCAAAACGCAGTATTTACATTTCAGAGGTGCATTCACTGCCTGCATGGCCTCTGATTTCTGAATCCAGTAAGTCTGTCTGACCTGGGGAATAAACAAGCTGCAGCCAGTCATGTCCCCTGCAGCTCAGGGGGTGGATGTTCCTTCAGGAATGGTACTTTACAACTTGTGGTTTGTCCCAGAGAGGAGAAATCACTGCTATGCCAATAAGGCGTATGCTGTGACACAAGCCTGTTTGTTGCAGGACTTTACCATGACGCTTTACCTAAGGCACTACTGGAAAGATGAGAGACTGTCCTTCCCCAGCACCAACAACCAAAGCATGACCTTTGATGGCAGGCTGGTGAAGAAAATCTGGGTCCCTGACATGTTCTTTGTCCACTCAAAGCGTTCTTTCATCCATGACACCACCACAGACAATGTCATGCTGCGGGTCCAGCCGGATGGGAAGGTACTTTACAGCCTCAGGTAAAGCTGCATTCAGTCAACGGGAGTTATTTGTGGAGTGAGAGAGAAAATGGTTTAATTGATTCCTGTATAGTGCTTTTGCATGACTTCATACTGAAAAAAAAGCCTAACAAAGAATGAATGTGTTGACTATCCACTGACATCTGAGTCCCTGTGCAAGTTCATTGAGTGCTTGTCCCAGGAAGTCAATGTCCATGCTAATGTTGCTTCTTCCACCAGTGTGCTTTTGCCTTGTGTGCATTGTTATCCAGTGCTCCTGCTGTCTAAAAGCTGTACCCAGATGTCATAGTCTCCTTGGGGCATCTCACTGGGGACCAGTGAGCTGTGGGGCACGCTGATGAAGAGGCAAGGCACGATGCAAGGAAGAGAGCAGTTTCTGGTAATAAACAGAAGTCCAATGCATCTATAGTTATCCACTGTACAACGAAGTCCCTGGGCCTAGCAAAATGTGCAATTCTAATTCTAAGAGGTAATTATGAAGAAACATAAATTATACCAAGCACAACTTGAGCTTTATGATAAGAACAAACCACGTAGAACATCCATCAGCATCTGAAGTGACAAGCTTCAGAGCAAGGGTATATGGCCCCGGGTGACCCACACGTATGGTTAAAGCAAAGCAAACACTTGACTTTGGCTTTTCCTGCTTTTTGCTCAGTTTCATGTGGAATGCATAAAAGCTCCTTGAAGGGACATTTTGGGTAAACTGTTTTGTCTTCTAGTTTGAGGGGTGATCCCAGTCCTGGCTTTCTGCCTTATTTTCCAACTGGTTGATCAGCTTTGGGAGGAACATTGCTGACCTAAGTCTGAACGTTATTAAAGCAGGATTTTTTTCTTTCTGATAAGTAACACTTTCATACTTGGAGAGCTTTCATACCTTCATACTAGGTGGGGAGCATCTGTCAGTCTCCAAAGGAAACTGAAATCAATGCTTTAGTTTTCCTTGGCTGCAGCTCCACTCAGTTAGAAAACAAGTCTTGCCAAATGATCCGTAAGAGCCTATTAGAGAGGAAATTGCTGTACAATATTCGGATGCAAGAATGTCAACAGCCTCCACAGCAATGAAATAGTAACACACATACTAAATAAACAAAGCATCAGATGACAGATAAGGTATTCTGAAGGACAAAAGAGAATAAATATCTGACTGATAGGAGGTCAGGATCAGCAAAATGCATACATAGGTTTAACTAATGATAGGGTTGCAGAAGCTGTGAACACCATTAAGTGCATTTTATACAGCAACCTTAGGAGTGGCAGAGGTAGAGCTGAGCCTGCCATCAAGTGAGAAATTCATCTTCCCAGCCTGCTGAGGTGTTTTATGATTTTATGAAAGGAAGGGAAGCAAACAAAGTCTTGATCCCCTGTGGGGTATCAGTTTGACAAGAATTTTAGTGTTCTATGACATTTTTATGTTCCTGTACATTGGAATTTGAAGTCTGAAGAATATCTGCCTTCTCCTTATTAAAGCTATTTCTTCACTCAGCGCATTAGACAAGGTTCACTTAAACCTTAGTCCTTTGCAAAGTTTGCTCAGGTCCTTAGCACAATAAGAAAAAAGACAATGAAGTGCCATATTGCTGCATGATACCAATCACCTGCGCAGCAAGCCTTCATGGTGTCTAAAGAAGATGAGAATAGAAAAAGATCAAACTATTCAGATACTGCCATGCACAGTCTTGTGCTTAAACAGTCGTCCTTTATAAAATGGTGGTGAATGCCTTGAATAGCAAATTGACTGAGTTTAATTATTTCATTCAGTGGTGACTGTAGGTTGGAGTGCTTGTTGAACACTGGGGAAATATGAATGCTGGTCTCCCCTTAGGAGCAAACGGGTCATTGCTGCCTGCCTGCCTTTGCTGAATGCCTTTGCCTGTAGATTGTAGTTTTCCTTGATGTCTGCCTTTTTAAGGTTCTTCGCGAGACTTTGTCTCCTCTTGTCTTGAAAACCACTGTAGATCTCACTGGCACCTAAACAAGTCTGAGCCAGGCACTTGCACTCAAAGACTAAATCCAGACAGAAAAGCAACATCAGTAAGAGCCTGCACTTGCAGAAGGACTACTGTGTTTCTATCATTATGTGACAGATGTCTGTCTACCATTAGCACTGCTATAATTCATTAATTCTTTTTCCATTATGACTTATACTTCTACCTTCATTTACTTTCCTAGAGTTCAAGAGAGTTGAGTCAAGATTTATGGATGTTTCCAGTGCAAACACAAAATCATGCGGTTAAAAACGAGATAATAAGACTATAGCATGACCAGAGCTTTCGATTGGTGGGGAAGGTCATTTTAATGGTCTTTGTAGCATACCAGCTCCAGCATTGCCTGTGCCCTCTGGTGGTAAATATACATGTGCGGTCACTGGATTCTCATTTAGCAGCTGGAAAATCAGAGCGCAGAGAAAAAAACCTACCTGCATCCCTCATGCCGTTAGGATGGCTTTGAAAAAAACGACATTATTTTACCATACAAAGCATCCCCTGAAAGCACAAATGTCTGCAGAGAGATGTTGGCTGATAGTCAAAGAGGAAGGAGGACCCTCTCTGACCTTCCCCATTTTCTCCTCCAGTATTTTTGTCATCTAGTAGCAATTTGTCATGGCCTAACTTTCTAGTGACCTCTTCTAACACTGATTTGCTTAGAAGAAAAAATGGCTTTAACTAAATTGGAATGGCTTGATCTGAGTGGAAGGTGCTTGTTTTCAGTGGACTGTACTGGATAGATTGATGGCTTGGCTTCGAAAGCGAAGATCTAGGAAGGGCTTTAGTTACTTAATAAAAACCCCAAACTCAGAGCTTTATTATTTTACAGTCACATAAGAAGACAAGCTTTTAATGGAGTGGGTTTTATTATTCCTAGAGTTACGGTAACGGCAATGTGCAACATGGATTTTAGTCGCTTCCCACTGGACACACAGACATGTTCCCTGGAGATTGAAAGCTGTAAGTAAAGTGAAGGGAAGCCAAGGGCTGCACCTCAGGGGCACCCAAACTGTATTTCATTATATCAATATTTATATCAATAATTAAATTGTTGCTACATGCACAGAGGCTCTCTCGAAGTCACTGCAACACTAAGAGAAACTCCCTGCCCCTATTTTTTCCCTGGAATTGGATGGTGTTTGCAACAACGCATTGCTCTGAAAAACCAGCTATGAGCACTGCCTTGCCAGTGTCCCTGAACCAGGCTGCCCCGCTGCCACCCCATCCCCAGGGCCACTTCCCTGCACGTCAGCAGTCTCCAGCTACATCCGCTTGCCCACGTGCCCTCTAATACACAAATAAATGGCCCTACACCCTTGTTGTGGACTGTCTGCTCATCTGTGATGTAGCAGCCTGACATTAGTCACCTTCCTCTTACATTTCTTACACCTATTTGAGACAAATGCAGCTTATACCCACATGTAGCTCCTTTGTCCCAGGTATGATGCACATATGAATTGGCTAGATTGCAAGCAGAAACATTTTAAACTTCTCCCTTCTTAGGAGGTTTTCCCTTCTCCTTCATAAGATTGCAGTAAGAAATTATAGTCTTAATCCTGTTTTAAAGCATTTATGTGTGATTTTTTTCTCTCTGTCTGGGAAGAGCTGCTACTAAAGCCATCTGAAAGGATTAACATTACTATATTTCCACATGTATTATAACAGCAAGACCCACAATGTTCATGCGTGCACACAGGCAGAAAGCTTACCCAAGAGTTTTCCCTCCTGCATACCTCAGACCATCAGTAGATTGCTGCTCCTGTTACCCTAAGCAGGCCCTTTCGTCTGAGGCTCCTTTCTTTGCTTCTGATTTTAGGACATTTAGAGGGACAATTGTTGAAGTTCTGATGTGGCGGGTTACCCAACGTACATATTATGTGTGTGAAATGATGATGTACCAGGCGTCAGGCCTGAGGGCTGTGACAAGGAGCAAGCCCACTCCTTGCCGCAGACATACCCACCCTTGACACGGCTCTCAGCTAGGCAGTGGCATTTGGCCTTTTCAGCCGGGACCCCCAGGTAGCCTGGAAGGTGTGTGGGGACACACTGGGCTGCGGGTGTGACATCTCAGTGCAGTGGCACTGCCCAGGTTCGCTTTGCTGCCCTAGATGCCTACACTGAAGATGACCTTATGCTCTACTGGAAGAATGGGAACGATTCCCTAAAAACAGATGAGAGGATATCGCTGTCCCAGTTCCTGATCCAGGAGTTTCACACCACCACCAAGCTCGCCTTTTACAGCAGCACAGGTGAGAACCAGAGTGTGTCTGACAGAGAGTGGGCTAGGGCAAAAAGGGGTGCAAGCTGTCCCTTCAGACCTTGGCCATGAAGGATTATCCATTGAGAGGCCTTTCTGTGGCCCATGAGATCTGCCTCTTTTCTGTGCTGAAGCTGCTCTCCCTGCCACAGACTTCTATCTTGTCTAGAAAGACAATCCTTCTTCAAGATCACACCAAGCCTTAACAAGAATTAAACTCTTCAAGTGCACAGGTTATATTGTCTTCTCTGGAAGTTATGGTCCTGAAAGATGCTTTGACTTTTATAGCTGGTTCCATAAGGAGCCCTTTCTGTAAACTGCAATTATCTGTGGTCATTAACAATGTTTTTCTAAAAGCAAATGAGGAGTTTTTCCCCTAATGCAACATGACCTTACCTGAAAATACTTTGGTATAGGTGTGAGTTCTCTTTTTCCTTCTCTCTGTTATACAGGGTGGTACAATCGCCTCTACATAAACTTCACTTTACGCCGACACATCTTCTTCTTCTTGCTCCAAACCTACTTCCCCGCCACCCTCATGGTCATGTTGTCCTGGGTGTCCTTCTGGATCGACCGACGAGCAGTTCCTGCCAGAGTCCCATTAGGTAAAAACCAACCTTGCAGTCAGCAGACCTAAGAGACAATTGCTGCAGCTGCAGCCTTGACCATCAAGATGAAATCCCCTGTGCCAAGCACTGCCCTATTGCCTTGTGGCATGGAAATCAGCTATGCCACACGTGTGTCCCCCATGCAGGGGCCTGGCCCTGGTACAAACTCTCCATCTGCCCTGCAGTACCAAGCAATTACCTTCCCTGCTTGCACAGTGCAGTGTGAGGGATTCAGCTTTCCATTTTGCAACATCTTTCAGACAGATGAAGCCATATGTCAGAGGAGTCACCATGGGAGCAGAGCTACGATACGGATATAAATCTTCCAAAGCAGGTGCCTTGCCCTTAGCAAAATGCTGTTTATGTTTTCCAGACTTTGAGACCCAAGCTTGTTTCTGCTTACTCCAGGCAACACACTCCTGAGGATATTATTTATTGTTAGAACCATATTCCTCAGTGGAGAGGATATACAGAGGCATAATAGAGATGGTAAATGGGGCAGTTATCCATGTCTGTGTTTAGAAACAGCATCCATTGCCTTGAGACCTTATTAAAAGCAGCATAAGGGTTTGGGCTATGGCTTTTTGGAAGATATAGGCACTCCCTTTAGCAGCACTCTTTAGCACATGGATACTCCTGTGAATTCAGTCCTTTATGCTTATATACATCATTTCAAATTTCAAAGGGATCATAAATGTGATATAATTAGCCCCTGAAATAAGAGGACTACAGAAAGCCTCCCTCAGAGCCAGGATAATACTGAACTAAAGGGGTTCTTGCCTTTGCTGATGTGCTTGTTGTGCTCACCCATGGTGTAACATGGGGCAATGTTGCCCTGTGGGACCCCATTAGTCTCTGCTCTTGCTCCAGGGAAGGCACAGACCAGGGTGACTTCCCACAAAGCAGGACTTCATAGGAGCAGATGGAAAACAGGCCTGTGGAAATGGGTGGAAGCAGTAGCAGCAGCAGATGGGCTTCATGTGTGTCTATGCTGTGGAGGGGCTGAACTAGGAGATACTCAGGATCATAGAGTCATAGAATGTCTTGAGTTGGAAGGGGCACATAAGGGGCACTGAGTCCAACTCAATGTACTTGTACCCCTCCAGGGACAGACTGTCCTGAGCCTGGAGATGGGGTGCAGCCAGCACATGGTCAAAGCACTGCTGCCTGGCCATGGGGTAGGAGGCTGGTGGTGTGGTGAGGAGCCAGGCTGGCTACACCGTGAGACCAGAACTAAAGCTGTTTTCACCAAAAATACAAGAAAACCCAAGTTAGAAATCAGGGCTGCCTGGACCCTCTTGGGCAGTGACATCCATCACCCGGCTGTGAAAAACAATACTGAAAGGTGAATTCCCATGTCAGGAGATTGTAACAGCAGCTCTATTTGTGATAAAAGAGTCTGGCTTGACAGAGTCTTATGGTCTCTCTGCTGATGTATTCCCAGGGATAACCACTGTGCTGACCATGTCCACGATCATCACTGGGGTGAACGCCTCCATGCCTCGTGTTTCCTACATCAAAGCAGTGGACATTTACCTGTGGGTCAGTTTTGTGTTTGTTTTCCTCTCGGTGCTGGAATACGCGGCTGTGAATTACCTGACTACAGTGCAGGAGCGGAAGGAGAGGAAACTGCGGGACAAGGTGAGGTTTTCTATCCCTAATGCAGCTTTATGCCCCTGGGAAAAGGTATGGCAAATGCCTGGGAATGTTCAAAACCTTGCAACTACAGTGTGCTGCTCCCAGCTGCCTGGGGAGAAGGCAGCAAAAAGACACCAGCAGAGAAGTGTTCCAGGTTATAGACAATCCATACCCAAGCTCACTGCTCTTTCTTCAGAGTTTGAGGATGCTGGTTCCCTCTACATATAGTCCTCTACCACCTGTATAAAATGGATAGGTTTTAGGATTTTACCTTTAAATATTTTTTATATTGAGGATCCAAGCCTGTCAATAGCACCAGATGGATACTGCATTTCGTGCTTTATCTAACCTTTCCCCAGGCACAGTCTGAACCTACACAATGGTCCAGATTTTTCCCTCCTGCTTTTGTTACATTTAATTATAACCACCTACAATTTCAGTCTCTTCTCTTCCAATGGGACAGGCCTCACACATTCCTCCTTGTGGTTTCCCACATCCTCTGATTTTCTTAGCTTCAAGGTACAGGTCCAGCATTTATTTACACCCCAATAGCTGGGCTGAAGCTGAATGAGCTTTTCCAGAGCCAGCCCCACTCTCTCCCTGACTACACTGTGTCTTGCAGGCACAAAAACGGAGAAGGAATAAGCTGCTGATCCTCTAGTTCTCCCTTTTTGTGTCCCAGCATCCTGATTTCCTCAGGCTTCTCTCCTCTGTTTCTGTAAGGAGAAAAGGGATATCTGTGTATAGATGGAAACTATTAAAACCCATCTCGCACTTGTGTCCACAGCTTCCCTGTGCATGCAGCCTACCTCAGCCCCGGCCCGTGATGATGGACGGGAGTTACAACGACGGGGATGTGAATGAACTGGGGAACTACATGTCTGAGAATGGAGACAAACAAGACCGAATGATGGTGCAGCTGGCACTGGGGTCTGAGAGGGGCTCAGGCAGGAGGAAAAACCAGAGATACGTCAGCATGCGGATCGACACTCATGCCATTGACAAGTACTCCCGGATAATATTCCCTGGTGCATACATCCTATTTAACTTGATATACTGGTCCATTTTTTCATAAACATACCTAACTCCTGTAGTCACAGAGCATTGTGACATTCGATGAAAGTACAGTCTCATAGGCTAACAGATAAAACTCACTTGTGGCATGAATAATTGTGCGAGTTATTGTGCATTTCAGCAAAATAGAGGTGATACGATCGGAAGTTTTATACTTACTTAAAGCTGTGCTACGTTCTTTCTTGTGCCTCATAGGCCACTGTAAACTATTTTAATAAGCGACTATAATTACCAGTTGCTTATATATAGTGCATCCTCCATTTAGTGCTCCTGAGATCCTAATTCTTCAAGTACCCGAGCATGTGCATGCATCTTTCAACTCAGCAGACTTCTACACATTCAACAACAGTAAAAGCAAGAATATGCAAATACTTGCATGCTTGCAGGATGAGGTCAGAAACGGCCATTACAAACACAAAACATCCAGTGCTGGAAAACACTTCGACAATGTTATTGCTAGCTACAGCTTGCTTTCACTGCTTAATGCATGCTGCCCTCACAGTACTGTGCTGGCAAGTCCACATAGGAATACTTTCAGACTTGTGCTTTGTCCTGATCGTATTTAAAAGAAAGAAATCTCACCAAGCTATTTTGACTATCTTTTTAAAGTATGACTGGCAATGTACATTCACTAAGGAACAGCGCTAATCAAGTCTTCTGGGAACACAGGAGCTCTCCTTGGATCTGCTTGTTTGAGTCAGTGGGAGTTTTCTTCTTGGGTTTCCTGGGAAAGGAAACAGGTCTCTGTACAAAATGACCCAGTGAAGACAACCAGGTGTCTACAAAGAGTAAAACTACTCTGCAAGAAGCCCATTTTCTCTGAGATAGTCTGGGCGTTACTGGTCTGTACAGCCTGAGAACCTGTTGCAGCCTGTAAAGCCACTAGTTGTATTTGCTTCCAGGAAAAGCCTGGTTCATCTGGGTTTTAGTAAAAGCACAGTAGAAAGGGGCTTAACAGGTGACAAAGCAGTAGTAAGGACTTTATATTTGAGTTACTAAAGATACCATGCCAAAAACTTCAGAGTGAAGTAAAAAAGAACTTCCACCACGAGGCAGCAGCTCCACTGCAGACCCAGGTACATCTAACTGAGGACTCTGCTTCCATGCTGCATCTGTCTCCCTGTCACCCTGCAGCCCTCTGTGCCCTTAAAGCAGGCCCAGCATTTTCCAGGGCAGGAGAAAAGAGACGCAGCTGGAGCTGGGGGCACTTGGCATTGACTCAAGTCCTAGCTCTCCATCACGGTTTCTGCAGAGCAGCCAGTCAGTAGAAATATTCCATATGGAAGAGGCAAACTCTGCAATGTGAAAGTAATAAAATAGCTCAGGAAGACAAGAATCAGTTGAATGGGATCAGGGGCCTTTACAATAAGAGGAGCACCAAAGGTGTCTCAGAAAGCGTGGTGTATAGCATATCTGCTGCCATGTGCTGTACAACTACATCCAGAAAGCTAACAGACGGCTTGGGTGAACAGGACTTTAAACACACACACAATTTTGTATGCAGTTACCAAGTTCTTTACTCCCTGCACAGCAGCTGCTGTTGTCTCTGACAGAGGTAGCTGCTCTGAGAATCGGACCAAAGCAGTTGTGTCTCTAAAAGGAAAGTGAATCTTCTGACATGAGACCTGCCCTAGCCTGGCTAATCAGCCACTCTACCATCAGGCTCGTGACACAGACTTTGCGGCTATTTGAACACTGCTGGCTGTTGCTTTAATTTCCTATGTAAATAAGCATCACGTAAACATACGCAGCCTTTCTTACAACTGCTAAAATCATGATGTGCAAAACAAGCTATGCTCACCTTGCCCTTACAGCCTACACTCCATAGGTGACACAATGAAATCACAAAAGCTAAAAGCCATTAAAACACACGCATCCATGAGATAGTTTTAGTACTCATTTCTACATAGCTGCTTTTTTTCCCCCCACATACACATACTTGGTTTCATTTTATCAAGTTTCCTCCATATCATATTATTCTTCAGTAGGCTTTTTCAGGAAATTAAAGTCTATTTTCTTAAACCATATACGTTTCAGTCAGAGGCAGAACGGTCACTCTGGCAAAAGCAGAGGAGAGGCTGGCCACCCTACCTTATTCTTTGCTACAATGGCACCTTTTCCCACAAAGAGCTGCGAGACAACTTGGGCACTACTTGCACAAGAATGTATTTAGATTCTCAGTATTGTGAGAACCCATTTATTCCTACAATTTAAGAACAGCACGAACAGGAGTGCCAGATCTCATAGTAAGCTCTCCAGCTTCATAAGAAGCTTAATGCTATGTAGTTTGCTGCAGTACTGTACGTTCCTTTCTAGACTCCTTAATCTCATGCTACATGTTATTTGGCATCTGACTAGTATGTGTATAAGGGAGATTCTGAAGATAAAAATGGGAACTAGCATGTTGAACTCCCTGGCTTTCAGTGAGAGACTGGTTCCTAACTTCCCGAGTGATTTTCAAAGGCTTCCCTTCCAGCTCACCAACGTGAACAGATTCTCCAACCACCATGTTTGGATTTACATTGTTAATTTACTTGTGTTTTATTTTGGGAAACTCTAGTGCCTTTTCAGTCTTATGTAAATGTGTATATAGATGTATTCTATAAGGATATGTCACATACAGGCAGTGTTTGCTATCAACAAGTGTACTCATTAAACGTATTTACATACACCACTTTTTATCTTCTAGCCTTTCAGCGTATGAGTTTCGTACCCAATCATTTACACTCTGCTCCTTTGCCCGGCCACAAGAAATCAGTTATTTGTTTGGGTTTATCTCTAGCACTCAAAATCACAGTAAAACTTTACATTTGTACAGCACTGTGCATTTTCTGTCTTCAAAAGAATGATCTCTGTGAGAGTCCATGAGGTGCGAAGTGTTTTTCAGCCTCCAAGAACCGAAAGTATATATGTAAAACAAAAGTATATATATAAAACAAAAGTATATATATAAAACAAAAGTATATATATAAAACAAGAAAACCAAGGAAAATTACAACTCCTGATGACTTTTAAGTACTTATTAAATAGTAATGAACAAGGCTCCAGCACTGTAATTCTGATGAACATCAACTACATTTGTGAGCTTTTATCCTTCAATATGGTCTGGAGAAGCTAAGTGGAAATTGGCTGTGATTACATTTGCCCATTACCTTTGAGACTAAATAGCTGAAAAGGTAACTTTGTATAAGTACACTCGCACAATCATATGTGATAACACTGAATAAACAGCTGTTAAGACTATCCACAGCCATGTGGACTTCAACCTTTCCTAATTCTGAGGCATTTGGCTTCTCACTGTATTTTTAAATAAGGAGTTTCAAAAGCAGTTGTGGCCGAGTAAATTCTTGATGCGTTTGTCAGAAACTTCCATTAGGGCCTGAGGGAATCTAAAACTGCTGCAATCGTGCCAATGTCTCCTTAGTAGAGATTTTGGGTAATAACTCTTTAGAGGTATGCACTTTTGCTCCCTGACAAAAAGATGTGTGTGCCAGCAAGAGTCAACTAGACAGACTGGTGGACAAAGGCCCTGTGGATGGCTGTTAATGGCCAGGAAACAGTAATCCTTAGGGAAAAAAACATGAAATCATGTAGACTTTTCATTTTAACCTTAAACACTTTGTTCTAAATAAAAATCTGTTTTAAAGAAAGCTGTTAGCATGTTATAAGATCACTCAGTTAATACAGGACAAAGACTCACTTTGACAGCTAATGTGTTATGGCTTTGCAGTCACAAGCAAGACTGTGTTCCTGTGAGGAAATGTAACCAGGTCCAAGAACTTTATGGCAACAAAATTACTATAGAAATATGATCCACAAGAACATGTAGCAGCTTCCTATTTACTGTTTAAAGAAAGGCTGCTGGACCTTTCTACACCACGTAGCTCAACTCAGCAGGTTACAACTTTTCTCCTAGTCTTCTCATGAGAAGTAATCCATTGCATTTCATGGCTTATTTTTTGTTTTAAGCCACAACTATCTTTTACTCAAGTTTTAGGAAAGCCATTAAAAAAGCACTGTAGTTGGTAGGGCAGAGGCTTTAAGTTCTTCACAAAGTCTGGACATAATCACCTCATATTTCTGTGACTCGCATTCAGCTGTTCAGAATCATTTTGGCAAATACAGTTTATTACCTACACGTTTTGATTCATTGCTAGAAGTACTATTCTTGACATATATTCCAATATTCTTAAGTTACAGGCATCTTGGGGAAGACTGCAGCCAGGGTAACTTAAAAACCATGCTTGATATTGTCATAGATTTATGAGCACAAATTACCAACTTTATTCCCACGGGAAGCAAGCTTCTCTCATATATAGTATCATTGTGATAGTAAAATCCTAACATTAAATCCCAAATTGCTTTAGTTCTAGACCTAAGGAATGAGTGTTCTGAGGCACAAATCAGAATTAACTTGCCTGAGGAAGTCCAAAGCCTCTACCCTTGAAGGCTTCCAGAATTCAACAAATGAAGACAAGCTCATCTTACCCAGTGCTGGCGACAAGTCCACTTCCTGCTGGAGGCTGGACCAGGTTTAGCCTCACAGAGATTCTCCAGAGAGCCCTCCCAAGCACCATTCCTATTACTCAATGGATTCTAACATGTTTTAATAGTTAAAACAGCCCTATGACTATAAAGACTACCATTAAATACTGTATTTGAAGAGTATTAATCCTCACAAAAAATCCTGCTCACTATGGCAGACCAAAATGGAAAGCTTACACATCCTCATTCTTACATAATCATACCAAACTGGGGGAGTAATCAAACATGCTATTCAAATGAAATCATGCAGCATCCCAATATTAATCAAAAGACAAGAAAATTCAGTCACAATTAAACTGCTTTACTGATACCATCTTTAATCAGCACTTCGGTTTCATTTTAATTCCAGCAACAATTACAACAAAATGAGGACATGATTTTAATTCAGAAATGCGTAATTAAATGATCTTGGGCATGATGCAGCCAACAGCCAGCTAGTCTGGACAAAGAGACCTGAAAAGCCTGTAACACACATCAGCCAGTAGGAAACAACAATGCAGCATGTATCGCAATCACTAAGATCCCAACACTGCACCATAAAAACAGCAAAACAAGAAGGTAAGCAGCTCATGCAGGAGGAAATAGGAAGACGCTTATGCTAAGGAAATTCATAAACCAGCGTGTTAGCCCAACAGAACTTAATAAATTGTAACTGTGTCTGAGAACTGTCAGGATTTAAGTTAAAAATTGCAGAGAAAGTTCCTTTGACAAACCTTGGACCAATTTCAGTTGGATTTAGTATCCAACTTACAATCCTGGACATACCTATAACTCAGAGTCCAACACTCACCTGTTTCATGTATTCATCTGTCAAAACTGCTTACTACTGAAGGCAAGGACACTGGTGTAAGGACAGACCCTCTTGGAATCTGGAGTGCTTACAGTCATGTTCTTCAACTAACTGGCTTGTAATATAAAACAAACCCCTTTAACTGCCTCTACTTCCTACATAATCAGTTACTTATACAAAGGACACCGAGCAGTTAATATATTTAACAGTCTGTGTCCTATTACTACAAACACAGAGGCTGAAGTATCAGAAAGTCTAAAAACTGTCAAGTTGTTGTCTACACAACATATAGAGGCTGTATAGTCACACATACAGTCATCCCTCTAAGAAAGGAAAGTCTCAAAAGAATTCATAAACAGCAGCTGGAAGTCTGTGTTAAAAAGTGTGCAGAAATGCAGAGGGACTGCCCAGTTAAGCTAAGGAATCTGTTTCTTTCCAGAATTAGAAACTGAATATAGAAACTAATAGAATATAAATCCTTATTAGAATTCTAGAGTTCACCATTTAGAGACTGGTTCTGATAAAAATCAGGTTTCTGTAATTAATCTGGGTATTCCAACTTCCTGGGGAATACAGTTTGCTTGACTACTTTTCAGAAGCTTACTGTAACACTTATGCTTAGAAAAACGTTAGCCAAAAAGCTGCTTTTTCACTCAGTCTGTCCATTGTCTCAGCTGTTTGCATCTGAACAAAAGATTAGTTCCTTCTCTACGTACTCAAGTGATCCTTTAAAAACTGAATTAGAAAAAATATTCCTAACATGTTTGGACACACACACCACCAACCTAGGTAAAATCAGCAATATTAAGTGTTTCTGGGAAGCAAAATAACAAGGCTTAAACAGATTAACACACAGGAAGGACAACTGGCAAAACTTAACACATCTACTTATCTTACAGGATATGGGAACAAACATCTTTGAGAAGCCAGGTACTGCACAAGCAATCCCCAGTGCAAACTTCTCAAGAGCTTACTGGTTTGCACACGCCAGTTTAAGGTTAGCTTCATTTACTGCTTCACAGTACCAGGCTTGCAACTTTGTGAGAAAGATTCCCACTGTGTTAGATTTACACAGATCCTTCAGATCAGCTAGGCTAGTGCAACACCTCGTGTGCACACCAGTACTGCCTTTTAAGTACAACTTAAAAAAAAGGAGCACATGCAGTTCTCTGCAGTGGTTTCAACATGTTATTTTAAACAAATAAACATTCAGTTGCTTTCCAATTTGTTGATCAATGACTTCTCCATATCACCTCCGAAACTGTTAGGAGGCAAGCCAATGCATTTCAGGACAATCAGACTTTAAAGATGCCATTTCCATAAAAATGGTTCTGCTCCATTGCTAGAGGTTACTATTGTCAAAATCAGGCATTCCTCCAAACATATGCCCTTCTTTCCAGTGAAATCAGCTCAGGTTTTAAGCCTCTATCTTGTCCCAGGAAAAAGTGACTGGCCAGGCAGAAATATTTCATAGATCCGATTCAGTCTTTGATCATCAAGTGAACAGAGCCTATTTTTTAACCAGCATTTCCTGGTAGATGTCGTATTTCCCCTATAAAGAATGTTACTTTAGCAATACACAGAAAATCACTGATACAGAAATAAATGCTATCATTTTTTCAACACTGCAGCTTAAAGACAATGTATTTGAGATTTCTTTCCAGAGTTCATTGACATACAGAATACAGCAAACATTACAGATAGATGAAATTGCACATTTTTGAAAGCAATGATACTGTTTGCCTTTCCTAAAGTTCCCCCCCCCCCCCAATTGAACATTTCTTCAGCTATGTGTTTATCCAGCCCCTTCCAGGATTTAAATACAGCATCTCCATGAAGTCAGTCCTACTGAGAGAAGCTGAATAAAGTTTAATGGGATGCACATGCTCCTGTGCCAACTCCAGATTCTTTGATAGGTTCTACTGGGTTTATTTGCCCCTCTTCTTTTAGCTTCACCTGTCTAAAGTCTTCCCTGATTTCTTCTAGAAGACCTGGCTTGAAAATGACATCCAGTGCTGTCATTGCCAAAGCTTTTGCTGTGCGCAAAGCATAGAACTGAGCATTCTGTGACCCTGCAGAAAAGTAAGAGAAATTTCAGGTTAGACTACTACTATTAGACACAAACCACTAGCATAAGGCATATTCTACAAGATCTTCAAGTTTCAATTCAAGAACAGTTTCTTAAAAATCTACTTGCATGAAGTATGTCTATTTTCTGACGCCTCAAAACAAGTTTTCACATGCAAGTACTTAACTTTCTGCTACTGACATAAATAAGACTGAAATCAGAAAAGTGAGTGTTCACATTTTCCTTTTTAGAAAATGCAGAGTTTTATACTATTATCTCTATTACATTTCCTGAGTATTGTGCTTTAAGGAGTAAAAATTACTTTCACCTTTTGGTTCATGTTTAGAAGCTCTTCTGAATACTCTGCTAGGGATAATCACTTTAATATCTTCTGTCTAGATGGCATACTAAGTCAGGCTTTTAGCACAAGGAGAGGTCATCCTTCCCACATGCATTCAGCTTTAAACACACACACACACCCACACCCACAATTTCTACATTTTGTCAGCTTTTTTCTGCAGCTCTACAGTTAGCTAAGCTAATTGTCCATATTCAGCTCAGATCTCACCATGCTTGAAGAAAGAAACTCCATTTCACATGTAGCCACTTTCAGATCTAGTACTTACATTTTTATACATTTACTACACAGTGCCTCTGAATACCACAGAAGCATGTGAAAGCTTTAATCCTCTGTAACTTTAAATAATTTCTAGATCTGCTGTAGTGAAAAGTTAGGAACCAGTCACTACAAGGCACAAAGGTTCCAAATACAAACCTCTAGCCCTTTTCACTTCTGCTCACCTGCAGCTTCTGTGTACTGCTCAGTATGATTTAATGCATCAGAGCCAATATAAAAATAAGGATGAAGCCCAGGGACTACAAATGTAACATTTCCAAAGTCCGTGGAACCTAGAAGCAGCATAGAAATTTTCTTAATGAACAAGTGTTAAAGAGCTTCGAATGCTGTAAGAAAATGTATGAAAGATATCTCCAGCCCATATCTAAAATGTAATATCCTTTACCCCAAATACTAAATTAAAAGTATACCTGGTGAGTCATCCATACAGAAGTCTCCATCACCAATATGTTTTCCCTAACTAGCAATCTTCAGATGCTGCTCTCTACTGTGCTTATGATCAATAATCAGTTACTGGACTGCAGGGAAGATTTACCAGCATGTCCCTATTCCATTTACTGTTGAGTTTTTAACAAGCATCTCCTGACAGTAAGCTGTTAATTCAGGAACAATGAAAGCTACAAACCTTGCGAGTACCAGGCAGTTCAGCTGTTTTCCTGCTACAGCCCACTTTTCACCAATATGCAAATATTCAGCATCTGGAAGGGGACTCTGAGGTAGGAACAATCTATCTTTAAACAAAACCAGACTGAGGACCATTTTTTTCCTGTGCCTTTTGATTATTTTCAGTTATGGAAATCTTCAGCAGCACAAACACTCTTAAAATGACAAGATGAGACTAAACTCCAGACATAATGCTGGTACTTTGCAGACATAAAATTCTTACTAGCAATGAAGATTTTCATGCTTTCATGCCTACCTAGTGTTACATTAGCTACTGGTATCTCACCGTACTGCCTTTTCTAATGATTCCATCCAGAAGCAGTAGATCCTTCACAGTAAATCATCCAAGAGTCTGCAACTACTTCCCAAGTCCCCGTCTCCCCCCCCCCCGTTTTTTTCTACCAAACAGGCAACCCACTCACTGTTTTTTAAACCACCATTTAGAATCCAGAGGAATCAACATATCAGTTACTGTGAAATTCAGATACCAAAGGAAGAATTGTTTCACACTGGAGGAAAATAGGGATTACCAACTAAGATCTCATTTAATGTTTATTCAGGCCAATCAGAGCTGCAAGATTTATTGTTTTGTTTTTTTTTTCTGCAGCAATGGCATTACATAGTGACTGTTCTTAAGATTTAAAGTTATTTGTAACACATCAGGTAGCCTCCGTATCACAATATGGAGAGAAGGTATCGCTAATGCCTTAAGGATTCAGTAATGAAGTGATTGAAGGATATAGATTTTACTTGGAAACATATATTTATTAAAAGTGAGTCCATACAGCCTACATTATGTGATCAAAGACAAGACTAGCTTGCTATTTGCTCTGCCTACAAGCTGAAGTGGCAACACTTGTCCAAAACCATGATCTTTTCCCACACTGAATCTGTGTGCATTTGGAGCAAATCCAACTTTCGGCACAGCAGCAAGTTATTTTAATTTTTAGTAGTCTACAGTACTGCTCTATTCTCTGGTCAGCCTGAAATGACAAACCAGAAGTCTGGAAGTTCTGCCTACTTCAGACTAGGCCAAGAGTTCTAAACTTGCTTTACTAAGTCCTAATACACATACTTCCGGAAAGACTCTTGGCCTTTTTCCCTGCTCTCTCACTCAGCAAATGAAGCATTAAACAGCTCTTGGTCATGTAATTCCACTTAAATTTATGTCCATATCCAATCTACTACCAGTTCACAAGTTATTTTTGCTGAACGTAAGGAACTTAAACTTGTTTTTTTCTAGTAGGATGGAGAGCTTACCAAGCCAAAATCCAGACAGCTTTCCATGAACATGACACAGTTACATCTTTCTCTCTTTCAGAAAAAAATGCAACACCCTTTTGTGGTATTAACCTAGTGCCATGTTTAAAACATCAATTACTCCAACGGGTTCCATACAAGCATCTGGATCTGTATGCTTGGTAGAGATGTATGAATTGGAATTCCTTCTAGAGGCATAAATAACTGCACAAATATCAACACAATATATAGACTTGTGCGCTGCCTTCAAAAGAAAGGTACTAGGGGCTCCAGCCTCTCAAAAAATATATCCTGAAGCTGACACAGAAACCTCTTCAAGTCACTCAACACATAATGGAAATCAGTATTACCACACACAAGAAATGAAGGGAAAATGCAGAAGATTCCATGAAGCATTTATATACAGCCCCAAGCTTTAAAAGTGGTATTTTCAAAACATACTGGCTCCATAAGATCATCTATACCAGTCTTGTGCACAGGAAGCCAATGAATGCTAAAAGTACCGAAGTTATTACTAATGTGGGTACCTCAACTAAGGCATGCTAAACTACGCCATCTGCTTTGGGAGGTAGTCATTACCCTGGAGTTGAGCCACTCTACCAGCAGAAGGAGAACCAGGTTATGTCACCTGGTCAAAGCTAACTCAGATTCACATTATCTCACATCATCCCTTCTGTGTACCAAATGAGCAGAGTGTGCACAAGGCACACAAAATGTAGTATGATTTGATGGATTGAAGGAATTCTTTGTAACGCTTAGCTGCCTAGAGCGATACCTGTGAGCAGACCGATACTAATACCCATGTAGAGGTGGCAGCGAGTATGCTCATCTGTTAAGGACTTTTCTGCTGCACAGACATGGAGAAGCAACTGAGCTATCTTCCTTCCCTTTCAACAGAAGAAACTGATATCCTAAAAGAAAACATTGAAAACCATATGAAAACTAAACAGAAATAGAAGTCTTGAAAAAGATGAGACAAAACATTCAACCCCCCCAAAAAAGGGTAGCATACAAAATTCTACTCCTATGTCTCTAGAGACTGTGGTTTGTTATTCACTCCTGAAGCCCCACTGCAAAAAATCAGAGAAGCAGCTGTGGAAAGAAAACTCAGTAAAGCCTACTGTAGTGTGAGATTAAAAAAAGCAGTTGCTCAAGCACATTCTGACATTTGACAAGCAATTTAAGGACAGGACAGGCATATGGGGAGTTTCAGTTTAAGCAATTTAAGAGTTAACATTTTGCATATCATGTAAGTTACATATGAAAGCACTATTACAATTAGGTGTCTGTACTAAGCTCATCAGAAGCCTTCGGAATGAAAGATCACGAGTATTCACAATCTTCACCCTTAAACCAGTGTTTTGAAGGAAGCTACTACCAGAGCTCCAAACATTTTCATTGAACATTCTAAGGGACATTCCTCAGACCCTTTCTTAGGCTAAATGAGCAAAGTTGTAAACCCTACTTACACCACAAGGAAGAAAAAATTTTATAGAGAACTCTGTCCCAAAGCACCAAGATCTCAAATATATTTTGCAGTTAATATAGAGAAGATCAGTGCTGTAATGAAATTGAGTAACAACTTTTTACTGAGAACAATCTCTTCCTTCTACCCAAAGAGAAAAACCTTTGACATAAGTGGAGTAAAAATGTTTATATATACAGTTATGATCAGTACTGAAGGCTATAAAATATCATCAGCAGGTTAAGACTTCAACAGAGCTCCTGCAGAAAGACTCTGGAAAAAAAACAAATTATGAGTAATGAGAAACCCACCTGACTTTTCAAGAATTCATATTCCTATTACTTGAGCTCTGAGAGACCGAGAAAGTGACACAGTTTGAGACATAGTCAAGACTCAGAAGTGAACACCTACTTGAACGGCACCCTTTGGAAAACTAATCTGTTGAACTCATGAACTAAAGTTAGAGGCATAAGATTACCTGTTAATGGAAATAGGTTTAAATTAGGGTTACTGAGATGTTTAAACTTCCACTTAAAGTCTCTTCAAAAACTCCCTCTCAAATACTAGTCAGATGCTAGCAAATTTGTTTATATGTAAGCTTGGAAATATTATTAAACAAGGTTCATGAAAATAAAGTCCAATCTCCACTCACAGCAAACTAGGACTGAAAACAGAATGGGCTGCAATCCATCACACATCCTCAATGTTCTCGGGAAGACTGTTCTTCGCTTTCCATCCTTCCACACCTCCCCCCAGCCAAGCTGTTTCGTATTTGAAATATTTTCAGAAATATTATCGGAAAATTACTATTGTTGGGAAAGCTTCCTAGTTTCTACAACAAATACAGAAACACAGGCCAGAGGTATGATCCTTTTACAGAGCTTCAACTTTCCAATTTGGCTTTTTCCTCTGACCAAGATATATTTAACCCAGCTCTATCCCATTCTTTTATACACTTAAAGAGTTGATCAATTTAAGCTTAAATTGTAACAAAATGCCCAGATGGAGTTACCTGACAAACCATTCAAGATACACTCTTCGGATATAAATTCTATTCCAAGCTTCTTTCCATTCTCCTTGTAAACTTTCTGCAGGCTCTTATTTGGAAGCACATTGTAGTAATCATTTTCACCACCTTTTATTTCCACCTAGACAAAAAAACTTGAGTTATTAGAAGCTTTCCTCCAACTCGAGCCAGTTTAATGAAACCGATTTAAAAGACCAAAAGAAGTAAGTACATAATGATACTTCAAGTCCATGTCAAAACAGACATAAGTACTAAGTTTATTTCAGATATTCAACATTCTGCCAAGTATTACCCTTGATCAAAACACAGCTGGTGTTCCATCAACTTTGCACTAGACAGCCAAATTCCAGAAGCATGGATTTCACTGATATCATGTCCAAAAAATAGGCAACACCTGTAATTGACTAAACGTTTCCACTGCAGGTACTATTAAACTACACAGAAATCAAGTTAGGCCTTCACCAAATTTACTGTTACTTAGAACACGTCCAGTACTACAGCCCTACCCATAGGTGACTTCACACCAGCAAGAAGTTTGAAAGCAAATGTAAAAAACCTATACCAATGTCAAATTTCAAGAGAGATCTTAACTTCCTGAAATCCTTTTCTAGCTAGAATGGAGGCCATATGAGTAAACAGCATGCAATACCTCAAACAGACCTTAAATCTCACTAACTCACATTCACGTACACCACACCTATTTGTTCTGCTGAGCACTGACATTCTCTTCACAGCTGTATTAATCAAACCTGTAACTACAGAGTAGGTAGAACCATGTATCTCAGCAATACACTGCAAGGTAATCATATTGCTGGAACCAGCTACAGGAAACATTTCCATTTACTAAAAGTAAACAAACAAACAAACAAAAAAAGAATGCTAACTGAATCACAGAATGGTTGAAGTTGAAAACCCACTCTGGAAATCATCTTGTTCAACTCCCCTCCTCAAGCGGGGTCATCCAGAGCTGGTTGCCCAGGACTATATCAAGGCAGCTTTCGAATATCTCCAAGGATGGAAACACTACAGTCTCTCCAGGCAAACTCTGCTCCACTGCTCAGTCATCAAAGTCTAAACATCAGGAAAAACCTCGGTCGCCATGAGGTGGGTAGAGCACTTGAGATAGGTTGGGGATTTCATCCTTGGACATACTCAGAAGACTACAGGGCACCAAGCAATCTGCTCTAACTGGTATTGCTCCAAACAGAGGCTTAGACTAGATGACCTCCAGAAGATTCTCCCAGTCCAGATTCTTCTATGATGCTGTGTCATTCTATTTATAAACCAAAGCTTTCTTTCAGGGGATTCAGCAACAAAATAACAAATAGTATATTCTGGCTAAATACCATGCAGACAAATGCTTTTAAGCCTCCATTTCCTACTCCAGCCTACCTTATCTTCATATATTAAACACGACCATGAATACATTCTTACTTTGCATCCTGTGGCCAGTGCTGCAGATTTGAAGCAGTTCTCAACCTTCTCGATCAGAACAGAAAGATCTTTCATTGAAGGGGCACGCAAGTAGAACTCCAGCTCAGTGTAAGAAGGAATAATGTTGGGTTTCACACCACCATTTTTTATAACACCTGCAGAAAGGGAAAAGTCATATTACCAGTGTTAACTACAACTGCTTGATCTTCAGCTCTGCCATGAAACTCACTGCTCAAGAACTAAATACATAAACAAAAACCAAAACATCAGCCAAGCATGAAATACAAAGAATGTCAAAAATACAGTATGTGGATAAGAGTTTCTTCGTCCCATCAGATTAAGTGGAACATGCATACATTTTTCAGCACTATTTCATTACATTCTTTGGTTAGACATTTGTTATAAACCTTAAAGCCAAACTAGCATTTGTAATTAATGCCCTGAAATTCAATGCAGAGTCATAAAGCAAGATGGCTGCCACTGAAATAAGATTTTGTTATAAAGGCTATCTTGGATTCCAACTTTTAAAGGTTTCCAACTTATTTTGCCAGTTTGGAGAGAAACGGAGTAAATTGCACTGCTCAACAATACCGGAGCAATGGGTGTGTTGCAGTCCACAGAAAGTTCATTAAATTCCTCATACTAATTCTTTAGAAATATTGGAATGTATAAGATAGATAGTTTTATTGCAGAGTGAAGTTTGACCTGAAACTATTCCCTCAATGAAACATCACCAAGTATATAGTTTCAATTATGTCAGAGCCTTAGTACCTAAATATTTCAACAATAAACGTTGTATACTTCAATTCTACATTAGACTTCAATGCATTAACAGCTAGTTGCTTTCAACAGGGTGCTTTGCTTGTTTCCCTGGCCTCCTACCCCCAATTTATATATGTCAAGTAAGATCTGTTTTCTGTAGAACCTGAGAAACTATCTACTTTAAATGGAAATACTGCTCAAAGCTACTGATGCATGTCACTGAAACCTGAAATAACAGCACTATCAGGAGGCAAAAGGGCAACAAATCTTTACTTCTGGTGCAGAAAACCTATTAAGACTATGAACTCCCCCTCAAGTAAAACTTTTCACTCCCAAATAAAGTAAACAAAGTGCTGATTTAAGCCACTATCAGTTCTAGTCCATAACAAAAGGAAAAGCACAGCAAAGGAACCAGAAGGCAATCATGCAAGTTTGCAAGACACATACTGTAACATTTGCTCAAAACAAGTAGCTCAATAAGTAAATAATTTCCACTTGTAAACAGAACTTGATAGAGTCTAAGAGTATGTTTACACTTAAATTTCAAAGCAGCTGCAGTAAGGACTGGATAGATTATCTAGCTTAAAAGTAGGCTTCCTGGACACGACTAGTAGCACCCAGCTTGCCCTTCTAGATGAAACTGTTTTGGTTTTTTTACAACCTGTTTAATACAACTTCTTAAATAGAAAAAGAAATTTACATTCCTGTATTTCAAGAGGGCAACATTTACTCATGAAGTATCAGACAAACTCAAACCAACAGTATTCAGGTACATAAAAAATGGCTTAGAAATTCCAGACTTCAGTAATGGAAATTATTTCAGTTTCTGTTAGTGGGTTAAAACTAAGATTCTTAGGATCACTTCAGTCAGCCACTGCTGTTACTACAAGTCTACAACACGAGATCTTCAACACAGTTCTAAAAAAAGCATTCCTAAAACTGAATCTCATTCTAGCTGCTTATACTTTCCCAGAAGTATTTTAAGTATTTCCAGTTTGAAAACCAGGTTTATGACAGCAGATGTATCAACACAGTAATTTAAGTTTTGCTGTACTTCAGAAGTGCTCCTTCTAGGAGGCTTGTTTAGATACTTACCTTTTTGCCCACCTTATCCATGAAGCTTTTAGAAACTATGAAGAAAGTACTTAGGGGTTTATGCTTAGATTAAATAGAAGACTCAGGCACCTCCAACGTTAACTCGGCTTTCACACAACAGAACTCATAATTTAAGTACCCTGTTTCCTACAAACCACAGGATAGAGAGGCTATGCCCATGGTGTGAAATTCATTTGGGTATTGCTGCACAGGAAACTGCAAACAGTTAGGGCTTCCAGACTCCTTTCAGATACCCCGGAGAGAAATACACACATATACAGCACAAGCACTAAGAGGCATAATGATTAGCTCAGAACTTCTGTATGTGTTTTTAGCTCATAGTAAGTATTCAAAATAAACAGTTCTACATTCAGAAGTCCTGCAGAAATGGCAAACTTCCTTAATTTCAACCTGGAAAAAAAGCTGCGCTGGGTGCAATAAGGGAAACGTGGGTTTGGAGATGAAGGGCAGCTTCCATGTCAACTTCTGAAACTTTCTCACTGTACAAAAAGAAATGCATGATGCTGAAGGAGTATGAGTGAAGCTTAATGGTTAACATGTCTAATTACAAAAGTGACTTTTCTAATCTGAAGTCTAGTAGATATTAAATACTAGAATCCAGTGAACATCTAGTTGAATGAGCTACTCACTAAAACTACAGGCTTCTGCCATTGCTTGGTTTTGTACTTCAGCAAATAAATTTCAATCACTCTAAACCCTGACACCCTTCCAGTAAATATCATGTAATTAACAGGATGCCTACTACAAAAAATCCCGCAGTAACACTTTTTCGGAAGCATTTAACCTTACACCTTTGCAAGAACATGTACATTATCTTTAAGGAATTCAAGGCCGTGCTCCAAAATAAAACTTAGCACTTTTTTTTTTTCTTTATGAACTGCAACTTCCAAGTGCAAACACTTAAAAATTGCCTAGCCTCTACCTAGGTATCACAGTCCTCTCTTGAATCTGACCTATAAGCCTATTTTCAGAAGCTAGTACTGGACACTGACATGATTTTAAAGGCAACAGAAAGCTATTTAAAAGAAATTGTGCTATTTCATAATACTTGAAAAGACTATAATATTTAGTGCAATAATGCAATACTTTAAATAGTGGGATTTTGTAAGTTAGTATTTCAACAGCCTAAGCTCTTACTTGCTAGACATTAGATTTAATTCAGATCTCACCATGAACTCTCCAGGTCGGTTTCATTTGCTGTCTTAAAACAGACAGATTGTTGTATGCAAGAACAGCAGCATCTAATGCATTAACTCCTTCCCAAGGATAAGCAGCAGCATGAGAAGCTTTTCCATAGTATTTCACAGTCACACTAGGAAATAAAAGGCATTACTTATTTCTTTTCCATTCACTGAAAAAAAACCTCTAAAATAAAAAGTCCCTTTTGTTCCGAGAAATGTTTCAGTTTTGTGCAGAACACCACCAAACAATTTGCCTGGCACTACATTGGTGTAAAGTTGAACTATCTCTGAATGCAGGAAAATGCTTAAAGATTTCTAGAAAACCAATGAAATTGAATACCAAGAGCCAAACATCAGAAGTTACCAGTAATACACCACTATACAGCCTCTTCCTGAAAAGTACAGGCTTCACATACTATATTCCTCCAACACTTTTTTTTACACTGCCTGGCTGTTCTGAGACTTAAAGTTACTAATGTTCTTCTCAGAGGATAAAAAACCCTTTTCTCTGAATCAAAATTATAAGTTGCCTTAATTCTTGTCAAACATATGTATGTGTACAGTGTATAACACAGCAAAAGCACATTCATAACATCACATATCCATGTCTAAATAACAAAAGTCAAGGTCTAAAGTGTAGTAAAAGAAAAGCCTAGTATAAAATACAAATTACTGTGCTACAGCAAAGATATTCTTTCCCTGTACACCTCAAAAAAGCTGACGGAAAGAGATCTAATAATAAAGGCTATCTTCAAACTTCATTGAAGTCAAAATACTGCACCTGAACATATGCAGTAAGAATTTTCATGCTTTGCTTCATTTGAAGGCCATTTATATTAGCTCTACAACTTAATATTTCTAATTATATGAAAATTTTTTACATCAAAGGCAAATATTAAAAAACTGTTAACCACATGAGGTGCTATTTATCAAATACACAACTATTCATTTTTTGCCAGTAGCAGAGATTTTAACTAAATCTGTTTGTACCCAATACTCAGTCTTTCACATTAAAAAAATCCATCTTCAAGCTCACAGAGCTCCACACAACTTGTCTCTTGCCAGAGAGGACCAGCCTAACTTGCTTGTATTGCACAAATGCCAACTTAGCCACTTATCCTGAGCTGACCCTCACACTCTGAACCATGCTGTGTTAATACTGGCCAGCAAAGGATACAATGGAGTGCACTGCTGCAGCAGTAAACACCTCCTGCTACTGCCTACAACCCAAGTATGCCCTTTTCCATTCCCCCTCATCCTTCAAGACAATCATACATCTTATTCTGTAGTATGAGATATATTTAAAATTTATTATCATTATAATAGAAATACTTATCCATAAAAATCCCAAGTATTAGACTGCAATCCCTCAAATCAACTCACAAAGGCAGCAGGACAGATCCCTAAATATTCTCCAATAAAAACATAGAGAAGGTGACAAGGTCAAGCAGAAAGTGACGTTGCGATTTTTTTTCCCACTCCAAGAAACTTGCGCTTATTAAAGTTCTTTCACCATTCCTTTTCTTGTACTTCTATTGCTGCACAAATGTCACATACTTTTAGAAAAACCCAACAGATTTTGGTGAAAACAAAACCATCCTAAGCCGGTCTAAGGGTATCAGCAGAAGAATGTGGATCCTGTTTGACCAACAATAAATAGGCAGATTAAGCGAAGGATAAATAAAAAAGAATCAGCGAATTTTGGCATGTATCCACCACAATTATCCCACTGTGCTAATTTTACTTTAGGCACAAGCCAGCTTTCAGAGGTTGCAGATACAGTAGTACTAGCAATTTAGTGATTAAATTCCTTGGAAACAACTGAAGACAATTACATTACCGAAACAACCCTTGTACCATTGGAATTTCATAATTACATAAATCATGACAAACTCAGTATTCCAAGCTTCTGGAAGTAGTAACGTGTTTCACTCTTCAATTCCATGCTGCCTCCATATTCTAGTTTAAAGGTTATCCAGGACTTGCATCACACAGCAGAGTCCTACATCCATCACCTCTGAAGGGAGATTTCTCAATCTTACCTTATCAAACATAAAAGGCTATTGCAAGAGTTGAAATGAACAGAAAGACAAAATTATCAATGAAAACTGCATTTTTTAAATTATACAGACTTAGGGTACAGTAACCAAAAAACAAGTTAGGATAACTCTTGGAAGGAGACTACAATAACCAGTTAAGACTTCAGAAACACAATGATGAAATATGACAGAGGTAGCTGGATAAGGAAGACTCAGTGTTCCTAACCTCATCTGTTTTACCACAGAAACTTAACAGTAACAGAAGCACTTTCAAAACTGATTAAAAATCATACAGAGGACTACATGACTTGGTGATCAGGAAAGAAAGGAACTATTATCCATGAGATCTCCTTCAGTTGCCCTTTCTTTAACGAATGCGATAATGGATGTTTAAACAGAAACACCCAGAAACATCAGAAGAACAGATTTTTGGAATACATGCAAGATTATCCCAGTGCAGTCGGGGACCTTTAACACTAGGCTGAACACTGCACTTCTGAAGAACGGCTCAAGAGTATCCAGAACCCGTCTCCTTAGCTGACTGCAAACACTTAGCTCATCTGAAGGGCACTTGCAAGGTCTCCAGCCCTAAAACTCAGTCCCTCCCAAATCAGCTCCCTTACTGAAGGGAGGAAAGGCTAGTCAAAAGCCCATCCTTTCCACCTGAACGTGCTCACTCACTCGTGCTCGGCCACATCGGGCAGGTAAGCTGCGTTTTCTTGCGAGGGGTGTGCCATAAAAACCACATCCAGGCCATCAAACGCTCCAGCATTTATCAGGTCTATTTTGCCTCCTCCTTGCTCCTCCGCAGGCGTGCCCAGCACAGTGACCTGCAGCACAAACACAGAGTCAGGACCCGCCCGACCCACGGGGGCCGAGGTCGCAGCCTGCGCTCTCGGCGGGGCTCTCACCTGGACCGCGGCGGTTGTCGGCTGCGGCAGGCTCTCCAGGGCGGCCTTTAGCCCCAGCGCGGCGGCGGCTCCCACCTCAGCGATGAGGTTGTGGCCGCAGGCGTGCCCGATGCCGGGCAAGGCGTCGTACTCGCAGAGGAAGGCGACGCGGAGCGGGCGCACGCCCTGTGTCTGGGGGGCGGCTGTGCCCCACTCTGCGCGGAAGGCCGTGCTCAGCTTGTAGCGCGGCTGCACGGCCCAGGCGGCGCCCGACAGCTCTCCGCTGGAGAAGAAGCGGGTCATGGTGTCGTGTGCCTGGTGTTCCTCGTAGGCCAGCTCAGGCCGGCTCCAGATGTCGCGGCTCAGCGCGCTGAGCCGCTCCGCGTTCAGCTCCACGCTCTCACACGCCCGCTGCTTCAGCATCTCTAGCTCCGGCAGCACGGCGGCGGGGCCGCTGTGCGGCGGGTCGTGCGGCCTCATGAGGGAGCGGCGGGGCGGCCCCAGAGGCACCTGCAGGCCACACACCACTTCACAGCAACAGACCTGCCCGCAAACGTGAGCCGGCGCCCCCACTGCCCCTTTTATCGTCTCCTCCCGGCCGCGGTGCACGCTGGAAAACGTAGTTCATTACCCAAGGAAGGCCTGCAGGCTTCGCCTTGTCAGAACTACCAGTCCCAGCGCGCCCAGCGGGCGGCCGAGGTGGGGCCCGCCTCAGGCTCTGCTCAGGGCGCGGGTGGCAGCCGGGGAGCCGCTTCGTGCTTTTCACGGCTGTACTGTAACAGCAGGCTCAACACACTCCGTGCACACACGTGTCTTTACCGTCAAAACAAACTGAATTCAGCCTGCACCCTGTGTGTTGTTTTCCACAGATCGCGTTCAAGTGCGAGATCTGCCGTAACTGCAGGGCTTGGAAAGCAACACCTGTTTTCTCCATTATCTCCTTCATTTTTTTCAACTAGAAGCCCTCTCTGCCTGGATTTTGTTTTCTTCCTTAAGGGGTCCATCTCCTCTCCCAGCTAACAGGTGATAGGATGAGAGGTAATGGCCTCAAGCTGTGCCAGGGGAGGTTAAATTGGATATCAGGAAAAATGTCTTCACAGAGAGGGTGGGCAGGCACTAGAACAGGCTGCCCAGGGCAGTGCTGGAATCACCGTCCCCGAAGTGTCCACAAACCGTGTGGATGAGGCCCTCAATGGCATGGTTTAGTGTTGGTCTCGGCTATGCTGGGAATGGTTGGACTTATCTTAAAGATCTTTTCCAACCTAGCGGGTTCTATGATTCGTTTAAGCATGGTAAAGCTGATGCCATCTGCAGCACTGCATGCACAGCATGTGGACTGAGCCTCTGCGCCATCCCAGTGCAGAAAGTTCAGCTCTCTAGTGAAGCGTTGGACTTGCTCCCTGTATGCCACATGGCATGTGGGCACATAGTTCTGTCCACAAAAGTCCAAGCAGTAATCACCTGTGGTTTTGCTGACTTTCATAATGACATCCTGATGATCAGATTCATGGTTTTGTGTTGTTTTCCTTCCCTGAAGCTGCTGTTAACAGGGCATTTGTTTAAAATGTGCATGTATCACTAATGATGGTTTATCAGAACTTGAGTGGGTGTGGAGTTTTTAGATACAAGCCAGATAGCAGAGACGTTGCCTATCTAACCTACCCATACCTGAAGTCAACAGGAACAAAAGGACAAAATCTGGTGTTTTTCCCGTATTTATGTAGTAACCAGAAATTCACTTTTTGTTCATTTTAATTATGGTTTATCCACTATATCCTTTCCCCATGACTCCTCTGTCACCTGAAAGGTGCTTTATTGTGCTGAACTGCAAGTTTCCCCCCTCCACAGAGGATGAGGGAGGTGCTTTTCCCAGTGACACCCAAACCCCACAGGACTCTCGGTCACTCCGAGTTCAGGTTCCCATGCCTTATATTTGTCACAAGCTATTTTTACTCTTGTAACCCACTCTGGCAAGTGTTGTGGTTGTGGCCAGTTCTTTCTCTCTACTCCAAATCCTTCCAAGTGGAATAAAGCCACCCACCCAAAAAAACATGGGCTGAACTTTCAACTACCATGTGGATACACGCAGTTTTTATTTTCCAGCAGTTGTGGGAGCACATACTCAGCAAATGGGCCACATAATTCAGGTCTGTTTGCTCAGGGATTTCTAGGAAGCCCTTTGGAGCAAGCAAGGTGCTTGGTGACAGCCAGCATGGCTTCACTAAGGGGAAATCCTGCCTGACCAATCTGGTGGCCTTTTATAATGGACAGGGGTAGAGCAGTTGATGTCATCTACCTGGATTTGTGTAAAGCGTTTGACACTGTCCCACATGACATCCTTGTCTCTAAATTGGAGAGACATCAATTTGATGAATGGACCACTCGGTGGATAAAGAACTGGCTGGATGGCCGCACGCAAAGAGTTGTGGTCAATGGCTCAATGTCCGGCTGGAGACCAGTAACGAGTGGTGTCCCTCAGGGATCGGTGTTGGGACCGGTCTTGTTCAACATCTTCATCGCTGACATGGACAGTGGGATTGAGTGCGCCCTCAGCAAGTTTGCCGATGACACCAAGCTGTGTGGTTTGGTTGATATGCTGGAGGGAAGGAATGCCATCCAGAGGGACCTTGACATGCTTGTGAGGTGGGCTGATGCCAACCTCATGAAGTTTAACCATGCCAAGTGCAAGGTCCTACACCTGGGTCGGAGCAATCCCAGGCACAGCTACAGGCTCGGCAGAGACGAGATTCAGAGCAGCCCTGCGGAGAAGGACTTGGGGGTGCTGATCGATGAGAAAATGAACATGAGCCGGCTTCAGTGTGCGCTTGCAGCCCAGAAAGCCAACCGTATCCTGGGCTGCATCAAAAGGAGTGTGACCAGCAGGTCGAAGGAGGTGATCCTGCCCCTTCATTCTGCTCACGTGAGACCTCACTTGGAGTATTGTGTGCAGTTCTGGATAAACATAAAAAAGGACATGGATCTGTTGGAACAAGTCCAGAGGAGGGCCACGGGAATAATCAAGGGACTGGAGCACCTCCTGTATGAAGGTAGGCTGAGAAAGTTGGGGCTGTTCAGCCTGGAGAAGAGAAGGCTGCGTGGAGACCTCATAGCAGCCTTCCAGTATCTGAAGGGGGCCTATAGGGATGCTGGGGAGGGACTCTTCATTAGGGACTGTAGTGATAGGACAAGGGGTAATGGGTTAAAACTTAAACAGGGGAAGTTTAGATTGGATATAAGGAGGAAATTCCTGTTAGGGTGGTGAGGCACTGGAATGAGTTGCCCAATGAGCTTGTGAGTGCTCCATCCCTGGCAGTGTTCAAGACCAGGTTGGACAAGGCCTTGGGTGACATGGTTTAGAGCGAGGTGTCCCTGCCCATGGCAGGGGGGTTGGAACTAGATGACCTGAAGGTCCTTTCCAACCCTAACTATTCTATGATTCTATAAGGTAGTTCCAGCATGCTTTAGGAACCTCTCTAAGCATGGATCAAACCCAACAACTTTTGGACTCACGGAAAGAGCTGGCTCCTGCCCTAAGTTGTAGTGAAGAGGGGGGGGGAAACATCACACACATTTTTTCTTCCTAAGTACCTGGTTCCCTGAGGCGCAACTGTTCATTATAGAGTTTTGTATTTCTTGCTCCTGCCTCTCCTGTACTTTTTGTGCAGTCTGTAGGCCACCTGCATGTGATGCAAAGAATGCCCCATATGATGCAGCTTGTGGTCTGAGAATTGAAAATAAGAGGCTTTTTTGCCTGAGTTAGTTTTCTGCCAGGTCACTGAAATGGCTTTGCATGGGGTTGGATGAGAGCAGTCAGCACAGCACACTGCAGAGAACGTGCCAACACGTGGCCAGGGTGGCTGTGACATGAAGAGCAAAGCCAAAGTGGTTCTAGTCTAGGACTGGCTTAGGCTGCTTTGTCATTACAGCTGAGGATGCTGAGTCTCAGAGCCATAGCTGAGCCTTAGCTAATGGGCACAGGAACAGCAAGGCTTGGCCATGGAGCAAATTGCACTGTGGCAACTGCCTGCAAAAAAACAGCTGTTTGTCTGAAGGGCTGAAGAAGGAGCAGGGAGTGCTCAGGAATGCAGGCGTCTGAAAGTGAGACAAACTTAGTCCTGGCTCATCCAGAGAAAATTTACCACTCATGGGGAGCAGCTAAATTACTTTTAGGGATTATGTTATCTGCTCACAGCTTCCTGTTCTCTTTTCCAACCAAGACATCTCAGTTAATCAGAGGGTTGAATTACTCATGTGACCACAGTCTTAATCGCTTAATGAAACTAACTTTTAGGATATACTCTGTCCTTTTTGTCTGCCATGACAATTTGTGAAACATGCATTAGTAAGATATCCAATAATTAAAAGTACCAATATATTAGAAAGCGTCAGTTCAGCTATTACACTGTCATGGTTTTTCTCCTGCTTTAGGAGAAGGCACCAGTATTTCAAAATTTTATGCCCATTTGAAAATTCACTGAACAATACCAGTAGGAAAAAAAAAATCACTTATATTAAATATCTTACTTTACTGTAGGTTGTGCCTGGGTTATGATTATGAGAATGTTGTATTATAGTGAGTCTAAATTATAAGTATACAAAATGCAAAGCATATACCCCAAACATGTTGTTCTCATCTACTAGATATAAGAAAGAAAGAAAGAAAAAAAAAAGTAATGCACTTTTTAAAAACAAGGTCACAAATACTATGCTGGTATTTTGATTGTGCCAAGCAAATTATAATGCAGTATTAGACTGTTAAAAATACTGTTCCTATATAGGGTAAATACTATTCAGACAACATCGTGGTTCTTTGGGCAAAGCAAGAATTGTGCATATGTTTATTTGTAAGTAAACAAGAACAAGCTTCACAGATGCTAATTCAATTCATATTCCTGGAATCAAGCTGTAAACAAATGCTTGTATTTTTGTTTTAGAGGGTGGATGAGGTTTGGTAGCTTTCCATTGGTCTAAAAGAAGGAACATCTGTTGTGGCCATAAAAAACTTGATGATCAAGTTTACCACATCCCACATTAGCAACGTTAGGTATTTATGTTGAAATCTGGATCAGACTGAACTAGGTGAAAGTTTTACTGTTAAACTCATGGTGGTCTGGATTTCAAGCCAAAATCCAAAGCTTTAAAAACAACAGCACAGTGAGTATTAAAACAAAAAGTGGGCTGTTGCTCTGTGTAGGAGCTATATACTGGCCTGCCTAAAATAGCAGTCCCGTCTGGTTTACAGATAGCTTTATATTAGGAAGTATGTATCCAGATATACAATGCTACAGAAGTGGATTGTATGTTTAGAAAGAAAGTGTGATAAGGGCTTCTTTGGTCAGATTACAATGTTCAATATCATCACAGAGCAGAAGAATTGTAAAGATTTCAGGAAAATAAATGGCTTAAGTCACTGTCTTCTTTAACCATTAATGGATCAAGGATGCCACTCTCTTGTACATTTCTTATAAAGGGAAAAGAAATGCAGAATGGATGGATTCAGAAAGGCAAAAGCTTTCTC